TCACCGAAGTTTGACGAGTACGGTATGACTGAGAGTCAAATTCGTGGATTTGTAGCAGCTCGTGCAGCTCATAAAATACAGAAAGCCTATCGAGGCCATCAGGAGAAAAAGCAGCAGCTGGCTGCCAGTCGCATACAGAATAAGTACAGGAGTTGGAAGGTGCGGAAGGACTATGTGAACCTACGGCAGCGAGTGGTGAAAATTCAGGCCCATGTACGTGGAAACTTGGTTCGGAGGCGTTTCAGGAAGCTACTGTGGTCAGTGGGGGTTTTGGATAAGGTCATATTGCGGTGGAGACGCAAAAGGTCGGGGCTTCGGGGCTTTAAGAGTGGGGACCTTGGCGTTGATACCAAGGAGGACGACGAAGAATTTTTGAAAGAGGGAAGAATACTAGCTGAGAAAGCCGTTGAGAAGGCAGTAACGACAGTCCAGTCTATGGTGCGTTCCCAGCCTGCTCGAGATCAGTACATGCGCTTACGTGAAGGGTCGCTGAAAGCCGAACAGTCTGGGCAGTTTCACCAACTAGCCAGCCCACAGGAATTACTCACTAGCCCTGATGTTGAGTATAATTCATATGAAGAATTTCAAAATCAGCACATGAATCAGTATCTGGAGAGTAATGGTGACCAGCTCATGAGCTTCGCTGACTAGTCGTGGTCTATGGAAGCGTTAATTTCATCCCTGAAGTCACACTATTTGGGCGAAGATGTTAACCAGCTCACCTGGCAATGATGTATTGGAGGTAAGCCATCAAATTTACTGGGATGTCGTAATGGTGACTACTTTCCTTTTCATAGAATCCCTGGAAATCCTCTGAAGAGCAAGCAACAAAGACTTGCATATATGCCCTTGCATACTTGCTTGTGTTAGCTACGTATCAGCGTGCTGCTTCTATTAAGGAATATAAAATTGTGAACTTTTTTGGAGATCGTGTATTCTATTTGTTTTGATGTTGATGCTATGTTTGGGCTTTTGCAGACCACTCTTTTGGACCGGGTGCTTGCTAGTGGTTCACAGCTTCTTTCGGTCATGAATGGAAGCATTGGATAGGTGTACAAAGAGGAATCTGGTACTGGATCGAGAGTTCACTTTCTTTCTGCCAAGTGTTATTGTCCACTGTGTAAACCACTGTAAAGAGCACTGTGTAATTTGTAGATATCTTACAATTTTCCGTGTGCACTGCTTCTCAAGACACACGCAGTGTTGGTTACAAGTGAGAAATTCTTTAGAGACTAGTCATAATCCCTAGTCCAGCTTCCTGTGTAGAATGTGGAACTATGGATGGTCTCTTCCTATTTCTAATTTTGGAAGGGCGAGTAAACAAAATGCATCTTGCTTGATTGTGCAATTGATAACAGGACTATTTATGAAACAGATACCGACCCTCGGATCTCGACTGAAATACTATTGTTCCAATAGTTTTTGGAATGCTAACAGCATATAGCTTATAGGAGTAAGCTTACGCTTCTGAATTACTTCAATTCACTAGTTGAGATGTTGTGGAAGTGGCACTTTTTACCATAAGGCTCCCACGAATATTGGTGGTATATAGTGGTTCAGAAAAAAATCGTAAAATGTGCATAATAAGTATCAAAATATAATATTAAAGTTTGACTTTGCGGTATTAAACCTTATTTATTTATCAAGAGTTCGAATTCATCAATCAATGAAAGCCATGGAATTTGCATTTCATCAAACCCAATTGGCTTAGCGTCGTATGTAGCGGCCCTTAGTAGTTGTTAGTTTATGGGGCAGCAATTGCTTTGAGTTGCTCGCTTCTGCTGATATCGCCTAGAAACAAATAGTGATTGTTTGTGCGTAGGGTAGTGAACAAGAAGCATATTGATGGTTCAAATTATCTGGTGCAGATTTGGAATTGTCTAGGGCACATTGAAGGTGTTGAAAGTGTGACTTAGGAGGACGCCCTTGTGCTGTCTTTTGAGTGGGAGCGATTGAGTTCTGTGAAGAATTTAAGGTTCATGAAGTCAGTTTCGAATTATCTTGAGACATTGTGGCAGAATTGGCAACTCATAGACGTGATGATGTCCCCAAGCTGCTAGCAATCAGGAATGAGCGTAAGGAAGGACTCGTCCACCCTTTTTTCTCTATCCTAAATCTGCAATGAAGGTTGCACCTTGTATTTAATCGAAGTTCCACTTTCATAAGTGCAACCAAAACCCAAGAAAATCAAAGGAGCTGGTCCGTACCAATTTATATTAATTCTGTTATATGTAAAGCAGTATAAGAGTTCGAGTTCACAATGAACACACAAACGGTAATCACATTTTCCTGAACTGACTGCCTGCGAAGACGATCAACATGGTCATGATGGCGGAATAGACAGGCGTGGGGGCTCGCTTCACAGCAGGACCTAGGAGGGGGAGCTGCTCCGCTCCGGGCCTGGCTAATGTAACTATGGTAGGAATGACGAATGAGAAGAGCAAGATGTTGGTGCTGACCCGAGCCGACACATTCTTTGTAAATGTCTCAATGAAGGCATTGAACTCGTTTCGGTCCAGCATTCCATCGTTATTCTTATCATAGGTCTGTTGCATCCAAGTCAGATTTGGTTAAGGAGCCACTAACGTGTGAACATCTGAGAAATATAAAAGCATTTAAACACTAAGGTCACATGGTGGATTCCTCAGTCTCAGAGAGAGCAGGGAGGAACGTAGGAGGGACACAAACCTTCAGAAGCTCCTGAACCTCTTCCTTCGTGGGGGGATCATTGAAAGGACCTGGAAGAGTCTTGTTGATATCGCTGTTACAGACACCAAACAACGATTAGTAAGCCAACTGCAAGAGCGCCTCCAAGAGGGTAATCAAATACATTCCACACAAGACGATGACGGAAACAACTGCATGGACGACTGGAAGAAATCGGCTTCAAAAGCGTGGAAGTTAGAAGTGAGAATGGAAACTCGATGAGCTAGCGGTATTTTCTTAAGGTGGAGCTTAGAAAGGTGATTGAACTCTTTACTTGTAGACAAGCAGGATGGCACAGTACAAGTCTTGGACTCCAAGCGCTCGGTGCTCACTCGTGCTTGCAAAACGTTCCCATACCCGATCCACTATCTTCTTCACCTGAGGGTTGCCTTTTTCCTTGGCTGCACATTCATTCATCGAGCGTATCAGTAGTGCGTGAAATTCAGCCCTTACATGACTCCAGCTACATAACAGATGCATCAAATTGTCAAATCTAGTCGTGGCAATGTGATATCATAGTAGCATATCCGTTGTCCAAAATTTAAGGGTATTACCAACAATTCTCCTATTCTTTGAATTGCTCGCCGGTGAATTAAATTACAAACCCCTCACATTTTCTGTCCACCAGATACCGCCAAAACTTAAAAATCGTATGGAGTTGAAAGAAACGTATGCCATGACCCTCTTTGTTCACTTTCAATAAAATTAATACATGCGAACGTAGAGCCCCAAATCATACACACTTCCCTGTCTTTTCGCAGTCAATTTTATTCGAAAAGTGAAACCCTCGATCACTCCAAATTCGCCACATAGACAAAAAAAAACCCCAATTCCGAGAAATCACCTCCACGAACACAGATGCTGAGGCCCCAAACTTCTATCAACAAACTTGGACAAATCTCATGAAACCAAAATAAACCAAACAAACTAATTTCTCAATCCACACAGCTTGCGAAGCCGAAAAAACTTACAAACCTCATAATCTAAAAAAGCCTTACTTTTACCCAAAAAAACACACACGTAGACAGATAGACAGACAGACACACACACACACACACACACATGCACATCATCCGTTTCGACTCCTACACAAACCAAAAGCCAGAAACACAAAAGAAAATACAAAAATATATTAACAACCCAGTTCCAAGAAAATAAACGCTTCGAAATTCACGAATTCAATCAAGGATCGACGCAACTACTTACACTTGAGATTACCCATCATACAGGTCCAAATCGTGCTCCAAACTCAACTGCTAGTGGTTCAAACGACGACACCCCTCCCTACTGCGATCCCACGACCACCCCATCCAGAGCTTGCGAATCACGATGAACTCCGATGAGCCTGGCGATTGACAGCAGCACAATTCCAAAGGGGGGTTTGGGGGGATACCCTGAAGCCATGACCGGGGCTGGATTCGAGACCGCATGGCTCAACGCCGAAGGTTGTCGGTAGATCCGTGGTGAAGGGGTACTCACATACATAGCTGACGAGGTTGGATATATGACCGCGTCCGCCCTTGGCCATTTTTCTGTTGCTAGTGGCGAAAATTCATCCATCCGTCATTGAAGGATGAACTCCGCCCGCCCCAACCGATGCACGCGCCAGTTTTTCAAAATCCTGGAGGCTTGAGCCCTGGCTTCTTCCTGACCTAGAAAAATCGAGAACTCTCGTTGTTTGTTTCGTTCCAATTATTGTGTGAAAGAGCTCATCCCGGAAGTCGCTGATCACCCTCGATGCATCTGTATTATGGGGCATCTTGAGCATTGCCGATCACGGAATATATGCGGATGTCCATTGATGAAGCGTGCGGGTCTAGTGATTATTTCACCAACAAGAATCAGTAACATGATGCAACTTTTAGAGTTATTGTCTCTTCAAGCTGTTGAGTTGTTGTCCACGGAATGTTTTTTTCAACTTTGACTGGTGGTCACCACGGGATCCACAAGCACTACCTTCAATTTTGTTCATGTGCATTAGCTTTGGTGCAACTCTTAGCTAGGTAGTATACTTTACGATTGTGAATGAACAACAAAGGTTGATTGACCTTGTGTAGAGTATTTTAGACAAGATCATTCTGGAATCCAAGATTATATCCCTGTACTTTTACAGTATGAGGCTGACCATGGAATTAGTTTGTTTTGTTCGAAGAAGCGGCGGATTAATGTGAGATGAACCTTTGGGTACCTGTTTTTATTGATGCTGCTGTTATTATTCCGCTTAGAATGTTGGTTAAGCACGTTATCATCGTGTAGTAAGGTAGCTATTGAATTTCAATCCTACCTTACCCTTTCATCACTGATGTAATCACGTTTGTTTTGGTGCAGAGCCTGATTGTTTCCTATGAAGGTACAGCTCTTCATGCTTGTTTATTGCATTACGCTATCGTTGTTCTACGTACTGATTCTTTATGTAGTCAACTTGTGAATGATTCTATCGTTCAGGGTTTAGACTGGGGAGAGAACATATGGAACTCTTGGTTATATAGCTCCTGAGGCAAGAAAAACCTACGTGCACATCATTTCAAAAGTTTGATGCATTTAAAGCAGATGTCTTTAGTTTTGGAATGCTTTGTTATAATATTTTGGTACAAGAAATAGATGATTCTATGGAATTTGACATTGCCAAGAGAATACAATATAAAATACAAAGATTACAGAACTTAAGTTGTCCTTTGGAATTTAAAGTAATGATTGAAGAATGTTTGTTTTCAAAAGATCATTCTAGAAGACTGATGGACAACAGATTCATTGAAAAGCATTTTAGAAAGATTGATGGACAAAAAAAAAATCATCCTTGAAGATCAACTTACCAATGTCAAACATCTTGGCTTGTGACAAACAAAGCATGGTTTGTGGGATTTTCTTCATTTGATAAAAAAATTGGAATATATATATATATATATATATATGTGATTTTACTGTTTCTCTTATCCACTGAGATTGATAATTAAAATCCAGAATAACACATACAATAGTAGATCAATCAAATTCCATTTAGATATAAGTTTCTTTTACAAATTTTAATGCTTCCAGATATAGATTTTTTTATTGATAAAAAACAATATATTAAGCATTGTGTCCTAGATGATGATTTGGACTTAAGAGATCTTTGTTTTATAAATTCTAAAAAATACATAAAGCCATATGTTAATACAAAAGTTTAATTTAGACATTGTTATCTTTTGACATTACAAGAAACTCTTTATTATCTATCTTATAATTGATCTTTGGTGCTAAAAGTTTCTTAGAATAAAAAGCTATTGGATAAAATTTATTATTTGCTCTTATTTTTGACAATACTAGATCTAAGGCAAAATTTGATGCATCAATTTTTATAAAAATAGTTAAAAAAAGCCAACACAATATAAAATTGGTACAAAAATAAATATTAATTTTGAGGCTTTAAAAGATGTTTTGACTTCTTTATTCTATTTAAGTTTGTTTTTATAAGTTAAACATGTAAGTGGAGTTGGAACTTCAGAAAAATTCTTAATGAAGATTCGATAGTAATTAGCAAATTTTAAAAAATATTGCACATCTTTTATTATTTTTGGAACCTTCAAATCTATGATAGTTTGAATTATCTTAAGATCTATTATAAGACTATCATTTAAAATGATGTATCCTAAGAGGTCAACTTGAATAGTATGAAATATAGGTTTTTTTGAACTTGGTGTATAATCTTACATTTCTAAGATTTTTGTAACGTACAAAAAATATGAAGTTCATGTTTTTATTTGTTCTTAGAATAGATTAAGATATTATTTAAATAACAAACAATAAAATGATTATTTTTTTTTTTCAAAAAACATTGTTCACAAGATCTTAAAAAATAGTTGATACATTTGTGAATTCAAAAGACATGATATTATGTCAAGGATATGAATCTCGAAGAAAGAAAATCTCCAATATACTCTTATGTCACTCAAAGATGATATAGTATTGAAATAAAATGGCTATTGTCAAAAACAAGAGGACTAGAAAGTCTTGAAACAAGACTAAATACTACGAAGGCATTGACAAGAGTGAAGAAGGCTTCACTCTTGCCTCCATATATACTCACTAATTACAAGTTATATGGCGATATTCTATAAGACTTCCAACATGTGTTGACTTTGCTAGTTACATGTCTTAACTTATAAGACAAGTTATCTATATATCCTCCACACAGTTAGCTTGTTCTTCAAGCTACTACATGGAGTTAACTTGTTCCATAAGCTAACAACATGTGCTTAACTTGTTAGCCAAGTTTCTAATCTATAAACATATCTAAAGTCAAAATCACGTCTATGAAGTTTTTTTAGAAGACTTTATGAAATTAGTCTATATTTACTTACTTCTATCTAATCATATAAGTAAGTATTGAAATAAATGTATATATTTTTGACACATTATATTCAAAATATCCATATCTAGTTTAAAATAATTTCTTCTATTCATCTCCTTCTTTAATGTATATCAAATTATTTGCTCCTCATAGATCTATTTTAATATAGATCTTATCTTTATTCAATTGATCAAAAAGTCTTGATATCAAATGTAGAAGGTACTTATTTTTTATGATAATCTTTTTGAGTCTTTGATAATACACATACATCCAAAATAATCCATCTTTTTTCTTCACAAATAAGATAAGAGCTCTTGCTAGAGATTTTGAATGATGTATGAAATTTTTAGCCAAATTATCATCAATGCATTCTTTGAATTTAGCTAATTCATTTTGTAATAAACAATAAATTGGTCCAAATGGCAATTGAACTCCTTCTTGAAAATCAATTGAACAATCATAAGGATAATATTTTAAAAGAGCATCCACATTTTTCTTCTCAAAAACATCTTGATAATCTTAATATTAGCTTAGAAAACCACTCGAAGTCTTTTTGTAATAAAAAATAGATGTTGCATATATAGCAATTTTTTTTTTTTTTTTTAATAGAATACAAAAAAGATCTTGCACCTACAAATATGGATTTAATTATACTTGAATTTTGACTTTCTATTAAGTTAAGAACACTCTTAATTACATTTTGGAAAAAATCAAGACTACAAAAAATTCAATTTGTTTAAGGATTGTATTTTTTAGCCACAATAAAGCTAAAATGATTAAATTAGATGAAGAACTAATAATATTAAATATCACAAAGCTATGATGATTATTAGTTGCTTCTTCTATTAGAAATATTTTATAAATAATATCTCCAATAAATAATAGATGACCATCTATGACTTCTACATGAATAAGTTTAGTTTTTTTATACTAAAGATATGCTATATTTTTTAATAAATCCTTTATCTAAGAAAGAAGTTGAGGTTTTTGAATCTAGCAAGATAGAGACTTTGTAATATTTAGGTCCTAAACTAACATCTATTGTAAAATAAAGACAAGGTTTTGAAGAGAGAATAAGGTCTTTGTTAGGTATTGTATAAGATTTTAATTATATAGTCCCTATTATAGCTATATAAATTCTTTTTCAATTTTCATATATTTTACTTTTAATTGTATGTATTGAAAAGATATCAGTATTGCCATTGAATTATAAAAATATTGAGATTCATTTGTTTAATTTATAATTTGAAATTCAAAAAATAGATTGTCATACTTGACAACAAAGTTAATTGCTTGACTCAATGTTTGAAGATCAAATAAGTTGAGCATCAATTTTTTTATTTCATATTATAATTTATAAAAAAATAAGATAATAAATGTAGAATTATTTCACTTTTTATATACAAGAATCAAAACTTTGCTAAAAAAGTCTACAAATTTTTCAATATTAGATCATGTTGTTCAAGAAAATATAAAAATTATGATAATATAGAATTTAAAAGAAATATAGCAATAAACCCAACTTTTGATTCTAAAATTGAATAGCTTTTGAGTTGAAGTTCAATCACCAATTATATTTGATTGATGAATTTTCAAAATTTTGATATTGTACCATTAAACTTCTAAAGTATTGCAACTTTTGGTCTTCTAATACTTAAAAGATGTTCCACCATATGAGAAGTAATATGATTTTGTATGGATATTGAAGTATCTTTAATAAAATCTATACCTTTATTTCTTACCAATCTTATTATTCATTGTGGTGGTAAATTAAGCTGATGCATTACAAGCATTTGTAACATTGCATTCTTCATTTCAATAAGCTCTACTATAATAATACTAGAAAAAAGGTATCTAATATTACTCAAGATAAGTAGAAGAGAGGACTTGATAATAAAAAAAAATACTAAAAATAAAATCAATTTAAAAAAAGAATCAATTTAAAATCAAATACGTAAAACTTCTAATATGTTTGAGTCTTATAAAAAAAAAATCTATTCTTAATTCAAAAAAGAAAAAAAACTCTGATATTGTAAGAGTATTTGTTAAAGATAAGA